CTTTATAGCTTCTAGTTTCTCTCATTTCTTACTCCTTTTTCCCGAATCTGATAATGTAAATCCAAAAAAAAAAGAGAAATTCAAATCAAATCTCTTTATAAAAACGACATTGTTCGTTCCTCTGCTCAAGAAAAGCGAGAAAATATTAGAAAATGGATTTGTTCAAGATCCTGTTTCTTCTGTTCCTCGTGAACATTGGTTTCTGCTTCGCTGCAGATCCATATTCATTCTATAACTTCGAAGTTTCGTACATTACTGCTTCTCCACTTGGTGTTCCTCAACAGGTTTACTTCTTCTTATACTCTAGATCTTTGATTTAAGCTACTGTTTCTTGGATTTACAGTTAGGGATTTTGAGAGATATAAAGTTTGGACCTTTTTTCAGGGGTTTTGCTTGTAAACCCTTAATTCTTGAGGTTTATGTTACTGTTTTCTTTGGATTTACAATTTGGGGTTTTGAGATTATGAAGTTGCTTAATCAAAGTTTGGACCTTTGTGGGGTATTGGTTGTAGATTTAACCACATTTTGGATCAATTAATTCTAGAGATTTATGTTACTGTTTCTATGGATTTTACAATTTGGGAAATTTGAGATTTTTGAAGTTGTTTAATGTAAATTTTAGACCTTTTAAGTTGGGTTTTGCTTGCTGAAAAAATCCCTTTAGTTCCAGTGAGCTAAAGATCTAACTTTTTAGTTTACTGCTAAATTTTTCATTAATGGTAAAGAAATTTAGCTCACAACAAAAAAATTGGTTTATTTTTGTCACATTTTGATAAAGTTTGTTTGTTCATAAAAAAAAAAATTCAGATTTCTCAAAAGTTTCAATCTTTTTTTGCTTCAGGGGTTGCTTAAAACTCTTCTACAAGAAACTAATTTCACTTTTACTTTCCAGAAAATTTTCATTTCTTTTTAGTGGTCAAGAAAAAGGGTTTTGTTCTACTTATATCCAAAGCTTTACTTAAATTCAATCTGAATGAATGCTAAAAGTTTCAGTCTTTTTTTTTAAATAAACTCCAGATCCAACTGTTGAAAAAGTGAACAGTAGATCTTAAATCACAATTAGGGTTCTAATTTCTCAGTTTAATTCTATTTTCAGGTCATTGCTATAAATGGAAAGTTCCCTGGTCCTACAATCAATGTTACAACCAATGAAAATCTGGTTGTTAATGTGAGAAACAAATTAGACGAGGGACTTCTTCTTCACTGGTAAAGAAAAAGTTTGTTCATTAAGAGACTTTACATGTGAAGAAGAAGAAGAAAGAAAACATTTTTATGAATGTGGGTTTTGATTTTCTTACAGGTCTGGAATCCAACAGAGACGTGTGTCGTGGCAAGACGGACTTGCAGGAACCAATTGTCCGATTCCACCAAAGTGGAATTGGACTTATGAGTTTCAAGTTAAGGATCAGATTGGGAGTTTCTTTTACTTCCCATCTCTACATTTCCAAAGAGCTTCTGGTGGTTTTGGCTCCTTCATTGTTAACCCAAGAGCGATTATTCCAGTCCCTTTCTCGACTCCAGACGGCGATATTACTATTGCGATTGGCGATTGGTACACGAGGAACCACACGGTTAGTAGTTTTCGCTATTTCACAAGCAATAACATATTAGAAAGTTTCTTTCCAACATTTGTAAAAGATTGTGTGAAAAATGTAGGCTTTGAGGAAGGCTTTAGATGATGGTAAAGATCTTGGAATGCCCGATGGAGTTCTCATTAACGGAAAAGGACCTTATCAATACAATCAGACTCTTGTTGCTGATGGAATCGAGTACGAAACAATCACAGTCCATCCTGGTGAGTATTATTAGCTTCTTCTTTCTTTTTTTATCGAAGAGTCTTTGTGTTTATACTTATCGAATTCTCTTGTGACAATACCAGGAAAGACTTATCGAATTCGAGTGTCCAATGTGGGAATCTCGACTAGCCTGAACTTTAGGATTCAAGGCCATAACTTGGTTCTTGCGGAGTCCGAAGGATCATACACGGTTCAACAAAACTACACAAGCTTGGATATTCATGTTGGCCAATCTTATTCCTTCTTGGTTACAATGGATCAAAATGCGAGCACTGATTACTACATTGTCGCGAGTGCTCGGGTTGTTAATGAAACCATATGGAGAAGAGTCACTGGAGTTGGAATCTTACATTATACCAACTCTAAAGGAAAAGCAAAAGGTCACTTACCGCCTGGACCACAAGACGAATTCGACAAGACTTTCTCCATGAATCAAGCTAGATCCATCAGGTTGGTACTCCGGAAAAACAAAAAACTTTCTTCTTGTAGTTTAGTCAAGTTATACCCTTGTTCGTTTAGAAAGCTGAAATCAAATGTTGTTGTTATTGCAGATGGAATGTATCAGCAAGTGGTGCACGTCCTAACCCGCAAGGCTCGTTTAAATACGGTTCGATCAATGTAACCGATGTCTACGTTTTGAGGAATATGCCCCCAGTGATGATCAAAGGGAAAAGAAGAACAACTCTTAGCGGCGTATCGTTTGTGAATCCTACTACGCCTATTCGACTAGCTGACAAGCATAAAATTCATGGAGTTTACAAGCTTGATTTTCCTAAGAGACCTTTAACCGGACCGCCTAAAACAGAAACTTCGATTATCAATGGCACTTATCGCGGATTCATGGAAGTCATTCTTCAAAACAATGACACTAAGATGCAAAGCTATCACATGAGTGGCTACGCCTTCTTTGTCGTTGGGTGAGTTAGTTAGTTCTCCTCCATTCTTGACTGCAAAGTCTCTACCTTTCTTAACTCTTAGCGATATAATCTCGCTAAATGGCGTGTTAAATAACTGTTTCTTGAAACTAATTTGATTGCAGAATGGATTACGGAGAGTGGACAGAGAACAGTAGAGGAACTTACAACAAATGGGACGGTATTGCCCGCTCGACTATTCAGGTAAGAACTGAATACACCTTTATACAAAGTGTTGTATACAAAATCACACAAACAATAGAAGCCAATAGTGATTTAGCGTTCTAAAAGGCCGAAGTGATTCAATGTTTTGTGGGGATTTTTCACAGGTATATCCAGGAGCATGGTCAGCGATCTTGATATCATTGGACAATCCTGGAGCTTGGAATCTAAGAACAGAGAATCTTGATTCGTGGTATCTCGGACAAGAAACATATGTTAGAGTGGTTAATCCAGACGAAAACAACAAAACCGAATTCGGTGCACCTGATAATGTCCTCTACTGTGGTGCTCTCCAGAAGCTCCAAAAGTAAGAAACTTCAAGAAAACACACATTTTTGTTCTGTTAACAATATAAAAGTCATGTTCTTGATTTCGTTTTTCTTTGTTGTTTTTTCAGGCCACAAAAGATTTCATCTTCGGCGTCGCGGAGCATTGGATTCAAGAATCTTTCAATGGTGGTGATGGCTCTGGTGATGATGATGCTTCTGTAATTCGAGGGGTTTGTTGTGTATTTTTTCTAGGGTTTTTGTTGATATTCGAACCAGAGATGTTTCTTCTTCTTTACGTTTCCACAGTTTCTACTTGGGGAGTTGTTGGATTTCTCTGACTTGTTTTTTTTTTGTTTTGTTTCTTTTGGATTTGATCTGTTGTTTTATTCTTTCTCCGGGATTTGATTATTTAAGAAGAAGAAGAAAAAAAAAATTCATTAAAATGTTGAAATTTCTCTAAGTTATTGTCACTATTATTAATTTTCACACTTTTCTTTTTTGGCACTGCATATCTTATTATGTAAAGGAAAATGCACACGATGAGAGCTTGACAC